TCATTCTCGTGAAACGTGCGGCTTTTCGAAATTCCGTAAATCTTCATAAATACCATAATTTCGGTACTAATGTCAATATAGATTATATGATGTTTCAATGCTTTATTTGTCTAGATGGAAACGTGCGCTCATACCAAATCAGTGCTCATTATCGAAATTGCTTCAACGATATCTTGCATTGGTCACTTGTGCATAAGATTAGCATCATCAAGAAAAAGTCAAATCCATTTTACATGGAATTGAGCACAATATATGTGGATCGTCGATTCGAAGTTTGCGACCTTTCGTTACGGAACTGATAACGACATGTTAAACTGGAGTTTTTGCTATTGAGGGTGAAGAGTATCACTTGATATTTTTTCACGCCGTCTGTTGGGCAAAATCTGTCCCATGATTCCGCTCGTTAGTCGCCATTTCAGGAAAATCAACAAAGCGAGTCGCGATTTATATTCTCCAACAACTAGAGACGACCCTTTCGCGCAAATTTGGTATCAGACAGAGATATTTTCTTCTCCCTCACAATGTATTTCGGTCTGACTCTAAACGTTTAAGCGCAAGACAACCGACAAAACTCATGTTGATTCTTCCAACGTCTTATCGAGTCATCATAAATGATCTGAATAATTCTTTGCAACGTCAAATTTCATCTGATGAAAAGATATTAGTAATGAAATAATAAAAATTAATTTAATTAGTCTCCGTTTTATCGCAAATTTGTCAAGTGGGTTTGCTCAATTAGTATTTAAATATTTCCTTCGATAGTTCGTATTAACGATCAAAATTGTTAGTAAAAAAACATATGGTGTGAATGGACCCCAGCGATCGCTCTATGTCTGGGTAACAAATGATGATGCATAATTGCTCTGGATGCCTCCTGTCGCAATTACAATCTCTCCCATCACTGCTGTGTCTGAAGATTAAGAACGTATTTGAAGTACTTGTGAACATAATATAACCTTCTATACATTATATCAAAACATACTATAAGATAATAGAGTAAAGAAATGTCAATGATTAAAAATCCCGATTATTGGAATATCGGTACACTAAATGAATGGCACTCAGATAAGTTTCCTATCTTCAAGAGAGAGTCAGTCAATGCTTTGTAAGTAATCAACAAAACATCAGCATATTCTTCCTTCGTGCTGTCATTGTCATTTCGTAGTCGCACTCACTTTTGTTTCTTTAACGCTTTTCATCTAGAAATTCGAGATTTAGTCGTATTTTACTAAATAATAAATTGAGAAAATAAAGAAAGTTATTTAAAAATGATGGGAAATCCATTCGGATCGGCAGAGACCGTGGTACACATAAAGGTACGCACAATACTCTAGTTTGACGTCCATCTTGTCGTACGAGCTAAGCTCTGTGCCATACCACACTTTCACTTTTCTCCTCAGCACTTTAGCCGTTGCTAAAAGAAAAAAAGTTTAAAGTCATTCTAACGAGGTACATTTTAATATTTCATGATGTAAAATCGTCTTTCTTTCTGACTCGACTCTATTGTTTCTAATTGGCTAAGACGTTTCTTTTCTGCCTTTCTAGACCCGATCCCAAGTCAGCTCTCACATGGATTCACTCCTGGAAGGACAAACGGCTTCTTCTACGTAATTAACCAACCGCACCTTTCCCTCCTTCCCATTAGATCATGACGTCAAATGCGAGTTTCTCGCATCTTGTCCCACGTTTAGAAATTCAAACCGATACGACAGAAATGACACAACAAGAACATGAGCTTCGAACACGGGTACAAGCTGTTGCTAGACGACGACGACCATCAGATGACGGAGATGGGAGTGAAAGTCATCGCTCGAGTCTTGTGTCCCATCATTCCCATACTTCAGCACAATCGGCTCCTGCTACTGATTGGATTTATCGTTCACATCAGACGTTACATTCAGGACCAAGTCTCCGTCCAGTAAAACAATCAAGTTTTCGTGATCAATTTGATGAAGAACGATGTAGTCTCCCAACACTTGATAGCTTTGAATCAAGTCGATCTCGTCGACCAAAAGAGAAAACAACGTTCTGGAAACAGAAAGAGACGAGCAAAAGTCCAGTACCAGCATATTATGTACCTCAATCACCGGCATATACTGTACCTCCAAATCGATCAAAATCGGGTACATCTCATCTATCCGAACGAAAAGGAGCGGTGATTACTGAAGTAGGAGAAACAAATCTTGTTCTTCCTATGTTTAAAACAGATCAAGTGGGACAATTCTCTTCAGACACTCAAGTAAACCATGGTGCGAAAACACCATTTGATGCTTTGCAGTATTATACACAAACAGCGCCTCATGTGTCCATTGAAGAAGCTCAAAAATACACGTTTGCGATTGTATTAAAACATACGGAAGAGATTTTTCAGCTTTTAAAACGTCGTTTTCCTTCTCGTTCATCGGCATCCATTCGACGTGAATTACCAGAACAAGTGAGTGCATTACAACAAAAATGTGTACGACGATTGATTCAAGCAGGACTTGGGGTGGTTTTATTGGATAATGCATTGTACGACAGTTATTTGGACGATCAACGTGGGATTCATCATAAACCAAGTGAGAAAGAAGATAGTGGACGCAATTTATGTATTCTTGTGGATCCCAAGAAAAATCCAGATTTACTCTTACATGAGTTCAAACGTGAATTGGATGAATTGTCGATTAAACGAGGAGATGCACTTGGTCGATTAGCTGAAGAATCCCTTGATTCAATCAAAGAAATGTGTTTCTCACCGGCTCTTGAATTGCAATTGACGCACAATATTATTCAAAATGCATTTAAAGATTATGATAAAGAAGAATGGGTCATTGATGTGAATAAAGAATTGACTGTACGTGATGTGATTATCGAATGTTTTCCACTGCATGATCGTGCGTTTAATAAAAAGTTTTTCGATGAATATCGAAAACGAACGTTTGAGCTGAATTTACGTAAAGCTGCTGCGGGAAATAGCGATCGATGGGCTGTGGAAGAATTACGGCTACACTTTGGCGAGCGTGTGGCGTTTTTATTTGCTTTTATGCACATTTATACCAAACATCTTTTACCATTAACTGTCGCGTGTCTCTTTTACTACTTATGTTTTCGCTTTTCATCCACTCCACGTTGGCGACAATACATGGAAGGACTTGCAGTTATTGGGGTCTCAGTCGTTTGTTTCTGGGGTCCATCTTTTCTTGTGTGTTGGGCTCGAGAAACTCGTTTACTAGTGGAGAAGTGGAACTTAGCTAAGTATCAAAACACAGTTTATGAACGCAATGATGATAATCCAGGCTTTAAGTACGTATGGGTAAAGAATCAATTGACGCACGAGATGGAAAAGGTTCCTAAACAGCGAAAAAATCACTGGATCCAACTCACGATGCTTTTCTTTGTACTTACTTGTGCAGTGATTCAATGTTTATGTCTCGTACCTTTCATTCAATGGTATGTGTACGCAAAAAATGCACCCACATGCGATGCGTGCAATGGTGATTCAGAAGAATCGTATCCCTGCATCTGGTTCGTAACGTGTTTTAACTCAACCACGTCAGCATTAGGAACAGATCGATGGGTCTACATCTTGCTTCAAGGGATTCTTTTGGGTCTTTTAATTGATATAATATTCTTTGAATTGTTCAATTGGATGTCTGAAAAGTTTGTTCAATGGGAGAATTACGCAAAAAAGTCGGATCATGAAAATCGTTTAATTCATCGACGCTTTGTATTTGTTTGGAGCAATTGGTTCTTTTGGTTTCTCTTTATTTCGTTTGTCTATATGCCATTTGGTGACAAGATTCTTAAACTGTTTCATCAAATGGGTCTTGGAGCGATGGCACCGTATGAATGGAATCCAAATTTATTGACACTTGATACACTGTTTGTCACACCTCTTGTAGTGACGCAATTTCTAAATATGGTTCTTGAAACTATTGCCCCCTATCTTTTACGAAAACTGCGTGGTCGTCCATCTATTGGATGTCGTCAAGCATCCGTTTTAAACTATTGTTCACGTCATTTTTCCCGTCGATTTCGCTTTGTCAAAGCTTCAAAACAACAAGTGACGATACAAGAGACAGCAAGTACAAGTCAAAGTAGCCAATTAAATTATTCTGAACGGAAAGACAAGAACGAACATGTTGTGAATTTAACTGCCACGCGACTTGCTCACTATGTACAGAAAGATACTGGTTTTCATGTTCAAGTTTTGCCCATGTCGGACGATTCAAATAAATATTCGGCATATGAGATTCTTGCGGAAGCAAAATTACCAATTTTTGATCCCATGCTTGATTATCTCGACGCGTGTATTCAATTTTCGTACGTGATGATGTTTACTGTCGTATGGCCTTTGTTACCGTTTCCAGCATTTTTTAACAATATCTTAGAAGTTCGTGGAGATGCTTTTCGACTCTTATTTGCTAATCGTCGTCCAATGCCTCGACGTGATACATCGATTGGCGAGTGGGCAACTGTTTTAGCATATGCAAACATTGTAGGGGTGACGGTTGTCTCTGCTTTTGTCGTTGTCTACCATTATGGATTTTTCGTCACGAATTGTAATTTTACATTCACAGCAGCTTATGTCGTACCTTTTGGTACAATTGAACCAAACGAAACGATTGATCCTAGTGCATGTGTGAATGAAAGTGGTTCATCGCGATGGCGTATGTTTCAAATTGTTTTGTTTGTTGTATTGGAACATGTCAGTTTTTGTATGCGGTACTTGGTCTTGCAATTTGAAAAGACACCATCTTCCATTCGTAGTTCAGGCTACTTGCGTTTAAAGCAGATTCAACACTTGACATCTTCCATTGCTGCACCGCCATCCCAATTGGAGTATGTTCAACGGTTACGTGTATTGTTTAATCAATACGATGAAGATGGTGATGGACATCTAGTCGAGTTTGAATTGATTCAACTCTTAGCTGCTTGGCTGTGTAAACATCCATCTGAACTTCTTCCGTATTCGGGTCTGATCTTTCGATATATGGACAAGAACAAATTAGGGCGTGTACCCTTTTCAACGTGTTGTTTAATGATGCAGCATGTGAATCATGATCGTTTCTTCTCGTGTTTATTAGGACTGTACGACCCATTGAATGGTGCGTACAATGAAGAAATTCGTCGAACATGTGATCCCATTGAATTGCATCGGGTCTTGAGCGAAGTATCGGAGGTACAACGTCAAAGTGCCATGAGTCGAGCTTCGATTATGACGGATGCTTCACGTCCGCGAGACTCAACGTTTTTTTACGTTGAAAGTTAACGTGACTGATTAGAAAGTTTTTTGCTATAGACTAACTGATTGATAATATAAAAGGAATCTTTGAATTGTACATTTTGATCATCTGTGCAAGGATTTAAGGTACATACTACATGAATGTCACTACTATCCCTCGGATTAGAAAAGCTCTGAAGTAGTACTATCATGACGTGTCATGATGAGGGTCATGAGCAGGCCTCTTCAAATTAGTCAATCTATTTATAGATAACCAATTTAACTAATTTCATT